TTTACAACTCAAACAGTCTTCATTGAACCAATTTTTTTTTTACACAAAATTACCCAGCCACAAATTACATTTACAAACTATTGCAGGAATGAGTGATGGTTCAAAAGAAATTATCAATTTAATAACAGTTCTTTTAACTTTCAATTACATAAAATATGTCTTGCTTAAAATCGTTCGTTATACCATATGTTAATTTATGCTTACATGTTGCGCAAGAGTAATGCTCTTGACACGTTACTTCAAGACAACACATTGGAAGTATCACTTACAAAAGTACACACAATTATAATTCTGCAGACTCATGACTGCCAGATAACCCAACTACACTGACCTATGTGCATGGGAGATATTCGGTTACAAAAAAAAATAATGTGTTTGATTTTTTTTTACTTTCAACGTATTTAACAATTATTTTAGTATCTTTCACCTTTGTGAATAGTGTTATTTGTTGTCCCTTGCTTATTTTTAGTGTGTGAATATATATATATCACAGATTTATAAATACGGGTGTGACAAACATATTTATGTGGCTGTGAAATATATATTCAATCTTTGTAAACTTTCAACACATGTTATTTTAAATTGATACATATGTACATTTCTGAATTCATATCATTTTATTTTTGGTTATAAAGCCACGTGAAAAACCGTTGAGAATTGATCTTCGAGGCGACTAACGGGATCGGATGGTCAGGCTCTCAGACTCGGTTGATGCATGTCATCGTATCGAATTGATGTTCATGATGTCAATCACTCACTGTATTGTCTGATCCAGACTTGGGTATTTACAGACATCCGTCATATATTGCTGAGTGGAATATTGCTGAGTGCAGCGTTAAACAACAAACAAACACACAAACCTTTATATAAAAATGCAGTCTCGATCGCCAGTTTATGTAGTGTAACCTGCACAAAGAGTAAACAAATGTGTCTGTCTCCTTCAGCTAAGTACAATACTTAATCTTATCAAACACAAATATACACCGAATCCAAACATCGATTGCACACAAAAGCATGACGTGACCTGGGGTTTAGCGTGAGACCAGGTCTGACAAATACACCCAAACACGTAACGGTTCGTCATTTTGAATTTCAAAAACATGACGAGCTTGAATCGCTAACGGTCGCACATACCACAAATAGTCGCAATGTCGTGAGATACGGCGTTACATATTGAAGCAAGCTGTCAAGCTTCTGAGGCCTCCACACTGAATTCAAATTTGAATCCCATGACCAGGATGACATTCTAAATAACAAAAACTAAAACATTCTGGCGTTGCGCGGAAATATTAAACTGATTACACACACAGTTTATCGAACATCTCGGAGGCATGTATGCGACTTTGTCACGGGGCTTTAAAGATTATGAAATACGATCCGAACCCTTTCACCTTGCTTGGTTGTATCGTTCTTTCGTTTCTTCCAATGATTTGTATATTTGTACAGACAGTTCATCGAATCGTACATGTAAAACAATGTGTTAAACATGGAAAGGTGCTCTCATATTTTAGTTTGTTCTGAAAAACTGAATTTGAACTGAGCTGAACTATTTGATAATCATTAGACATTTAACTTTTGAAACAAAGTTTATCTGTAAATTTGTAAATTAACGGTATAACATATCAGAATAGAAGCTGATATGAGAACAGCCACGTCTTTCAGACGAGTGACTACCCATGTCATATTGGGATCACCAAGAAAGGGCTTTCGCGAACACCTGGTGTCGTCATTGATTTTAAGTGGTTCATTCATATAATTTTCATAGCTACTTATTACCTTTACGCCAAATTTTAATCTGTTTCGGTGGATAACCTAGACTGATTATTCTCTTGCATTGACAATTTATATTTACACATTGTTACCGTGTTGGGAATTGAAGTCGAGTTTTGAACATGCCGAGCCAACGCTTAACCACTATTCAACCAGATCCCCTTTTAGTCGAATGATTGGATATTGCTTATCTACTCGTTACATCCCGGCAGACATGTCAGTCGTGTGTCCTGCCTGGGCCCTGCTCAGACTAGACGTGGATATTGAGACACGCAGAACATGGCGGGCCTTGTCCACTTGAAGACAACCAATGGATGTAATTTGGATGGGTTTTTTTGTGTTTACCATGCTTGATTTTCTTAAGAGACAAGTGTAAAACAAATATGACTCCTACGTTTGGGAATATTCTGTTTTAACGTATTCAGCAAACATGACGCCAACTCTCCGGAAGACCTTGCAGATGCTTGTTTGTTGAGAGTATGGTTTCTGGCATGGTGAATCCTATGTGACCAGGACATATATTTATTCACGTCTCTTTTGGAAGTTCCATTAAACTGATGTTTGGGTTATATCAGTTTGTTTGTTGTTTAACGCCACACACAACAATATTCCAACGATATGACGGCGGTCTGTAAAAAATCAAGTCTGGACCAGACAATCCAGTAAATGATTTTGTTCCTTGTTTTGTTTGTTGTTTAACGCTACACTCGGCAATATTCCAGCTATATGACGGCAGTCTGCACATAATCGAGCCTGGACCTGATAATGCCGTGACTGACATCATGAGCATTAATCCGCGCAATGACATACATCAACCAAGTCAGTGAGTCTGACCACCCGATCCCGTTAGTCGCCTCTTACAAGTGGCATGGGCTGCTTAAAGACCAATTCTGAGCCGAGTCGTGACGGGGTGGCTTATATAAGTGGATTAATGAGCCACTTTAAACAGTCGTCACTTGTATCACTGTGCCAACTTACTGAAACATCTGAAGGTGCCGCTTGTTATATACGTTTGACGTTATCCAGTTTAATGAAACAAGTATAGGTATGGTGCTAAAACACATGGGGTTCGAACTACCAGCTAACTGACCCTGGCTGTTTGGGCTAATGATCATGAATCCCAAGAGCAGTGTGATAGAAACATTTTGGGTGTGCATTTACGAGAATTCAAAGTGCTTCTTCAGATAAGTCCAATTGAGTTTGGAACATGTCTTTATAAAAGTAACATGTCATAAACATTTACGTAGAGGTCTTGATAAATTATACTTTAGATAAGAGTATCTAAAATGGTAAATTTAGCAAAGGTAGGTTACCGTCTTGAAGGTAATGACACATTATCATATTCAGGTAATGTTAAACTGCAGTCTTAAAAGTAATGGTGGCGGTGGGGTAGCTTAGTGGTAAAAGCCTTCGCACGTCATGCAGAAGACCCCGGTTCGATCCCTCACGTGGGTACAACGTGCGAAGCGCATTTCTGGTGTCCCCCGCCGTGATATTGCTGGAATGTTGCTAAAAGCGGCGTAAAAACCATATTACTCACTCACTCACTCACTCACTCAACGTAATGGCTAAATGAAATGTTCAGGAATTGACACATTGCCGCGTACAAAAAAATGGTAGTTCGCCTTGTTCCAGGTAAGACAGACAAGAAACTATTAAACCATAACAATACATTATCTCGAGATGTCTGATCACTGGATTGTCTCGATGGTTTACAGGCCGCCGGTTTATGGCAGGATTACTGCTGTGTGGCGTCAGACAACAAACACTTACTTTTTTTAAAGTGACGGGTGCTATAGGTAGAGCAGAACATGTTTTCCTCTTTCGCGAACGCCTTGTGTCATCACTGATTTCCATTGCCATGTTGCCCTTTGCGCCCAATAGGATCTGTTTCGGCAGGTATTTGAGACTGACTATTTTCTGGAGTTGCGTTTTGAATTTAAGTCGAATTTATAACACTTTTTTGAATAGGCAATAATATGTCATTTTCAAGGACAGCCCAAAGTGACGCACGGGCGTTGCGATCACAGACCAATTTGGGAACCGAAACCACGATCAGCGGCTCCTGACATACATAAGGGACACAACTCATCACAGGAAAAGCTACCAATACTCCTTTCATGGATTGAGACCTTTCGAAGTTCTCTTTGATATTTTAATTTTCAACATCCAATGAATATGTACATGTAGCATATTTAAATGCAGGTCTGATCATTCGGATATAAACCAGTTTACGATGACGACACTAGGTAAAAATTATTAAGGTTTTTCTTTCAAATGAAATCCATCCGCTGTTTAAGGGACAGTGGAGTAGCTTAACGCGTTCGCTTGTCACGCTGATCACACACGTTCGATTCCTCACATTTAAGCCGAATATTTGCGTCCTCCAAAGTGATATTGCGCACTACTGCTACACGTGGTTTGAAACCAGTGTTTTCAAAACTAGCTGTCAAAACAATTTATGGTAGACATGTGGAGGAAATTTACACTTGTGCCGCACCAGTGGCCACAATGAGGTGCGATGCAATTCGATATTTTGACTATATGTTCTCGTGTTTATCTGTGAACCCTTGACACGCCTTTGCATGTGTTTATGAAGAGTTCTGTCGCCTTTATTTACCTGTTTTGAATACATGCAAAAACGTACAAGTATAATACAATCTGGAGCATGTGATATTTATATGGCATGTTTGCAATTGGCAATTCTAAACATTCTCTCAGATACTCTGAATTTGTAATCTTATGAATCAGGATACATGTTTGACCCTTTGAATGACTCTGATTTGTCTAGCGGATTGTAAACATAATAACGACAGTGGTTTTTGACATATACAAATTCTATCTTTTAATCATGACATTCATTATTATTATCTTATTTGTAATACGAAGCATAAATAATGTGATTATCAAGCTCTATGATGGAGTGATTCAAAAAGAGGCTATTAACATTATAAAATGTATAATTATAACATATGAATATTAAAGAAATGTATTATCTTGTTTCGCAAGACACACAATTCATCCCTCCATATAAAGAAGTAAATAAAAGCGTCAAAACCCTTTCCATAATCCTAAAAATAAAGAAGACCCCATTGTACGATTCAGACTGTATCATAAGTATGTGTTAATAGATCACTATCAAATCGGGACAACACCAGGTGTTCGCGAAAGAGTGAGCGTATTCTGCCCCGGCGATGACACCCGTAGTTCAATACATCATATAAATTTACCTGTAATCACCGCAATGAGGCAGGTAAACCATGTTGTAGCGTCCATGCTTCAGAGAGATGTGTGTTGATGTCTGAGTCCTCACTAGGTTTGATGCCGACTGCTGGGTCTCCAACTCTTTGTCTCCCCGCGGTTCTTGTGTTTGCCAGGCGCGAACAGGAAGGTGTTTACATGAAACGATGGGATCAACATTGAGCGCATGCCATCGGTAGGGGAGGGAGGGGGAGGGGGATAGAGAGATGCCATTTGAACACGCAAACTCCGGCTTGTTACATCATTTCTTCAATTCTAAGATGCCTCATCTCTAAGGGATGATGGTTTACCTTTTGGAGTCTTTTTCCTTATCAAAGAGTACTTCGTCATCAGTCGTTCGCCATTAGCTAAATGTATTATTTGGGACATATGAAAGTGATTATGCGTGTTTGTATATATTTTTATAAAAGCAGCGTAAAATTGCCTCGCCACCTTTTAAAATATCAATCTTGGCAATTTCCTGAATTTTTTATTTGAGAATTTATTCATCGTATTCAAACATGTCAGATGCAATTCCTTATTTACACTTATACCGTATCATACATGTTCCTGTGTGTTTGTTCAGGTGAACAATTCACCTCTACATGTGTGTGTGACGGGTGCCACCGGTGGGGCAGGATAGGCTCACCATTTCGCCAACACCTAGTGTCATCACTATTTAATAATGATTCATAAACACATGCTCATAATATAGCCGGAATTGCACAATCGACTCTTCTCAGAGATTTCTTATGGATAACGAAAGCGTTTTGTCGCTGTTTACATTTACATTTACATCAATTCTTAAAACCTATCAAACTCGTGTGTAATTACCAATACATTTTACAATATATATATCAATAGTTAAACCAATCAAACCCGAGTATAATTACCAATACATTTTACAATATATATATCAATAGTTAAACCAATCACACCCGAGTATAATTACCAATACGTTTTACAATATATATATCAATAGTTAAACCCATCAAACTCGTGTGTAATTACCAATACATTTTACAATATATATATCAATAGTTAAACCAATCAAACCCGAGTATAATTACCAATACATTTTACAATATATATATCAATGGTTAAACCAATCACACCCGAGTATAATTACCAATACGTTTTACAATATATATATCAATAGTTAAACCAATCAAACCCGAGTATAATCACCAATACATTTTACAATATATCAATAGTTAAACCCATCAAACCCGTGTATAATTACCAATACATTTTACAATATATATATCAATAGTTAAACCCATCAAACCCGTGTATAATTACCAATACATTTTACACTATATCAATAGTTAAACCCATAAAACTCATGTATAATTGCAAATACATCATATGTAAGTACCAATACATTTACAATACATCAAAAGTTAAATCCATCAAACTCGTGTATAATTACTAATACGTTAACTAACAATACATCAAGAGTTAAACCTATCAAACTCATAGATGTACCTAAATAGTATGAAAGGGGTAAACAACTGAGACCTGCATCACTTCCGGCTCTCCTCCCATATTTAGCTGACACGCCGTGACATAACTGGAATACTGTTAAAAGCAGTGTTAAACCAAACTTACTCGCACCGATGCATTACACTTCGGGCTCTCCTCCCACATTAAGCTGACACGTCGTGATATAACTGGAATACTGTTAAAAGCAGTGTTAAACCAAACTTACTCGCACCGATGCATTACACTTCGGGCTCTCCTCCAACATTAAGCTGACACGTCGTGATATAACTGGAATACTGTTAAAAGCAGTGTTAAACCAAACTTACTCGCACCGATGCATTACACTTCGGGCTCTCCTCCAACATTAAGCTGACACGTCGTGACATAACTGGAATACTGTTAAAAGCAGTGTTAAACCAAACTTACTCGCACCGATGCATTACACTTCGGGCTCTCCTCCAACATTAAGCTGACACGTCGTGACATAAATGGAATACTGTTAAAAGCAGTGTTAAACCAAACTTACTCGCACCGATGCATTACACTTCGGGCTCTCCTCCAACATTAAGCTGACACGTCGTGACATAAATGGAATACTGTTAAAAGCAGTGTTAAACCAAACTTACTCGCACCGATGCATTACACTTCGGGCTCTCCTCCAACATTAAGCTGACACGTCGTGACATAAATGGAATACTGTTAAAAGCAGTGTTAAACCAAACTTACTCGCACCGATGCATTACACTTCGGGCTCTCCTCCAACATTAAGCTGACACGTCGTGACATAAATGGAATACTGTTAAAAGCAGTGTTAAACCAAACTTACTCGCACCGATGCATTACACTTCGGGCGCTCCTCCAACATTAAGCTGACACGTCGTGACATAAATGGAATACTGTTAAAAGCAGTGTTAAACCAAACTTACTCGCACCGATGCATTACACTTCGGGCTCTCCTCCAACATTAAGCTGACACGTCGTGACATAAATGGAATACTGTTAAAAGCAGTGTTAAACCAAACTTACTCGCACCGATGCATTACACTTCGGGCTCTCCTCCAACATTAAGCTGACACGTCGTGACATAAATGGAATACTGTTAAAAGCAGTGTTAAACCAAACTTACTCGCACCGATGCATTACACTTCGGGCTCTCCTCCAACATTAAGCTGACACGTCGTGACATAAATGGAATACTGTTAAAAGCAGTGTTAAACCAAACTTACTCGCACCGATGCATTACACTTCGGGCTCTCCTCCAACATTAAGCTGACACGTCGTGACATAAATGGAATACTGTTAAAAGCAGTGTTAAACCAAACTTACTCGCACCGATGCATTACACTTCGGGCTCTCCTCCAACATTAAGCTGACACGTCGTGACATAACTGGAATACTGTTAAAAGCAGTGTTAAACCAAACTTACTCGCACCGATGCATTACACTTCGGGCTCTCCTCCAACATTAAGCTGACACGTCGTGACATAACTGGAATACTGTTAAAAGCAGTGTTAAACCAAACTTACTCGCACCGATGCATTACACTTCGGGCTCTCCTCCAACATTAAGCTGACACGTCGTGATATAACTGGAATACTGTTAAAAGCAGTGTTAAACCAAACTTACTCGCACCGATGCATTACACTTCGGGCTCTCCTCCCACATTAAGCTGACACGTCGTGATATAACTGGAATACTGTTAAAAGCAGTGTTAAACCAAACTTACTCGCACCGATGCATTACACTTCGGGCTCTCCTCCCACATTAAGCTGACACGTCGTGACATAACTGGAATACTGTTAATTGCAGTGTTAAACCAAACTCACTCAAATACTCGCACCGATGCATTACACTTCGAGCTCCTCTCCCACATTAAGCTGACACGTCGTGACATAACTGGAATACTGTTAAAAGCGGCGATAAACCCAACTCACTCACTTACTCGCACCGATGCATTACACTTCGGGCTTTCCTCCCACATTAAGCTGACACGTCGTGACATAACTGAAGTACTGTCCCAAGCCGCGTTAACAAACTCACTCGCCAATACAATACTAATGCATCATCAATAATAATACATAGATCTATGAAACTGATGCATAATTACCAATGCATTAACAATACATAAACAGTTGCACCATCAATTCCAAGTATAAGTACCAATGCATTGACAATACAGCAATAGTTAAATCATCAAACTCATGTATAATTACCAGTGCATTAACAATACATAAAGAGTTAGACCATCAAATCCAAGTATAACCTGTGCATTGACAATACAGCAATAGTTAGATCATCAAACGCATGCATATGTACCAATCCATTCACAACAGTACCACTGAATTTGCAACACGTCAATGTTAAAACACATAACAAGTGTACTTATCAATAAACTTGATTATCGTACAGGTTTGCCATTTTCTTCCAAGCTGGATCCTTCTCAGACATCCATCTCCATAAGCCAAACGTTGTAGATCTTGAGTTTAACGTCTTGACTCCAACCACACAATCGTTAAATCCTAGCACGATAAAAAACATACATCACTATGGTTGAGGCTTTACATACTTCTTTTCGTGTATTTGCCTTTACATTGCAATAGTTTGCAGCAACTGTTTACCAAGCAATACATATTTGAATTTGACAGTTAAGTCCCCCTTCTTCCTGTTTCCTATGATGGTATTTTTCTAAATGTAGAGTTGCAGGTATAAGAACACAATACGGTTGGCAATGTGCTGTTACCGTTGTTTGTACTTCTTTTAGTTTCCTCCTTATGATGTTGTGTTGGTTATAGTTTGTGTCAACTGTCATTCAACATTCTATTCTTAGGTAAAATATTCAGATATGATGCCAAGCTTTTATGTATGTTATTGTTGGGTTTACTCTTGATGAGGGCTGGAGCCAAATGTTTCTCATCCATCTGAGAGGTATTGATGCTGTGGTAAACTGACTGTGTGGGATTATATTTATGCAGGATATGCTCGTTCTTTTCGTGAATACCTGGAAGCATCACTAATAGAGAGTGATTTTTCAACTATTGTCATGGCGTTACGTTGTTGATGATTCTGAGACAGGAATTCACTGGCCATTCGGAAAGTTCTTTTAAACAAGTAGAACTGACGCAACTATTGGCCATTTTGCAAAATTATAAAGAAATAAGAAGAAAAGAAAAGACCAACAAAGAGGTACTCCGGGAATCAGCAGATTTTCAATATTTCTCGGTTTCAGAAACACATGTACGAAATTGTACAAGGGCGACTCTGATTTAAGCTGTGGTTTCTCATTGTCGTGTTTTTGTTTATGTAATTAGACTAGTACTAGAGTATACAACGTGGTAAGTTAAAACTGTTTTCGTATTTTTCAGCTTTTTCGGGCATTTTCCAAAACCAAAGCCGTCAGTAAGTTATGATTTTGGAAGAGTGAGTTGTGTTTTACGCAGCTGTGTTCAGTATTTAAATATTACTGAAGATGTGCCAACTTAATGTGGAAAGGACATCCGAGGTGATACAGTATACACCTAAAGATATGTGGTATAACGATGACATCCACGAGCAAATGCCTGGTGCTGATATACCAGTGATAATAACCAGGTCGAGGCTATTGTTGG